GCTGATTCTATTTTAGACTTGGTATATACTTAAGACTATGTATTTCAGAAAAGTTTTTTCATATGAAATTGCCTTGAACAGAGCAATCATAACATGATTTGGCTAAAAATCAAATGGCACAAAATAGCATCTGGATTTTAAAAGGACAGCACTGAGGGAACTGGCTGATGGAGTTAGCTGGAGTAAGAGGGTCAGAAACTTGAAAGCAGAGGAAGCCTGCAATATCTTTCAGACAGCAAAAAACAATAAGCATGCCAAGGTAAAAAAAAGTAGAAGTTCTCCAGACTCATTAGGAGACACGTTAAAAGCAAGCAGAAGAGGAATGGAAAGAAAATAAAGTGATTAGAGTAAAATACTTGGCAAATTAGCAACAGAATTGCATGTAAATTCAGCAAAGACTACATTATCATAGAGGTGAACACTGAAGATTTTCAGTGTCAGACCCAAATTTATCAGCTGGAAAAAATAAAGGAAAGCCATGAGTTAGATATAACATACAGCTAAATCACAGGGAGTTTCAGAACAGATTTTTCGAGTAGAAATGAAAGCAGTGCCAATGTACAAGGTAGCAAAGAGAAATTATCTAAGAATACTATGCAATACCCTCCGGGAACCTAAGAAATGTCCTTCTGTCTGCAATGGCAGAAGCCTATTGCTCTGGTCTTCCCTTCAGCCTCACACTCCCTCCTTGCACTATGCTCAGCACTGGCTGTATCTTAGACTCTTCCACTGCACTCTTCAAACTCCTCATCTGGTCCAGATGCTTTTTTTTCTCCTGAGCAGGCTAACTTTCTCATTTTCACCCCCTCCTCAGACTACTCCCCCTGACCCAGTCATTTTCTTTATAAAGGAATATAAAGAAGTAAAACAATATCGGCTTTCACACCATACTGAAGTGTAAGAAACCAGGTTCCGGAGTATGACCAAAAGCAATTAATGCCAGGCTCTAAGGGGTTTGCTTGCAGTAAAGGTGAACAATCCTTACTGCAGATAGGGCTAGTACAGCAGCTGAAATTATTCTCCCATGGATTTAAATAGGCTTCTTCAAACTGAATGTTTAGGGGGAGGGGTTTTATTTGTGGGCAGTTTCTTGGTTTTGTTTAAGTATTGCAGAAAATGTAACTCAAAGGCTCTCCTTCCATCGCTAAGAGCAGAGGAAAGGATCAGTGTGCCCAGTTAGAAAGTTCTCCTCCCTTCTCTATGTCCAGTACTTGTTTAAGGTTGAAGTTCATCATGAAAACAAATTTGATGAAAAACTGTTTGTATATAAAGAAAATCATTTGTTTATTTGGTATGATACAAGAACGTTTCAAGATAAAATTTATAGAGATTGAAGGAAGGAACAGAGCAAAAAAAGAAAAAGCCCTTTAAGTATTACAATACTTTTGAAACAAGTCCTTTGACTCTTCGTTGAGGTAAGTTTCCTCTGGAGTTCATTTTTTCCTATGAATAGAAACAAAAAGCTTACCAAATTTTGATTTAAGTCAAAATAATCTATTCTGGGTTCAGGCATTAAGCACAGAAAACAAGACAATTACACAATCCTAATACGTACTTCTATCATCCACAAAAAAAATGAATTCAAGGTTTAAAGCAAGATAAATAAAACAAATACCAATTATAAGAACCAACCTTACACAACTGCCTTAAAATAAAAGCCAATAAAATCTTGATATCAAGCAAACTATTACAACCAATACTAACATACTTAAGGTATGCACAGTACATTCACACTCATTCTTGATGTTAAAAGTGGTCATGATAAATTTGTGCCTTCCTCAGATATCAGAGAGTGGATGAACACAGTATGAAACCCTGAAAAGAATTCAAAAACACCCTACCCCATCTTAGAACAGCTCTCCTGTGTTTCAAAATAAATGCACGAACTTCACAGCTCAGTCATCTTAGGTGCTGTGCATTCTGGACCAATCCAGGCTTAGCCTTAATCACTAACATCGAGGTTATGTGTTTTGCTATACCAGAGGATGAACCTACAGAACTTCCAGGGCTCAGTCCTCAACAGTTTCAACCAGGTTTTTCGAACGATCAGTGCTACAGAATCGGTGACAAAAAATAGATTATTTCCTCATCTGAGGACCAATAAAATGCTTGTCACTTTCCAATCACTATTCTATTTATTTTATTCCAGTGCATTTACAGCAAAAAAGCAGTACTGCTGAAGATCATTGATACTTTAAGGAAGAAAACCCATCTAGTCTGATCACATGTAAGCAACACAGGGCTATCTAATTTCTCGATCTTTACCTTCCTCATGTTTCATACTATGCTAAATGCCATTTGTAACACTCATTTACACTCCATTGCTCAAATATTCTCACTCCATCCCTTGAATTTCTTCAAAACTTGCCGCTACCCTCAAACTTCTGTGTTCCGAATGTTGCTTTTTTTTCTTCCATTCCAGCCTACCGGTTCAGGACCCACAAGCCAAACATCAAGTAACAATGTCACTCTTGGCTTACCCAGATATTTTTTTTTAAAGCTACTTTAAATTTCACCTTGGTACTAGCAGTTTTTCTGCATCTTGAATGTGCATTTTGTCTTGTACATTATCATGGAATTAAACACAAAGAACTTGACAAGATGAGTGTGTTTTTTTTAAAAAATATTTATATTCATTGCATCCCAAAATATTATCACTGCACTGTAACTTTTATTTATTTATACATGCGTGTGTACACAAAGTAACAGTGCACATAGGCACAGCTTAGTTTTCGCAACAAGAACATACTACTCCCAAAAAGATAGCTTAGTAAAGTAATTCGTTGAAGTATCATTGAAATAATCGATACACTTCTGTCACCCACACTTCAGAAGATTTATATTAAAACAGAATTTGCTAGGAAGTTTGGGTGGAGTTGCAAAGAAGATAGCATGGACTGAAATGCTAAAAAAAGAAAAAAACAAACCAGAAAATATAGCCTACCAAATATGTTGGTGGAATGTCCTTTCCGGGCAATTGGTTTGAGCTCGTTATGTCCCCATCCATATTGCCTATAATTGTCCCAGGCATGCTTCATCATCTAAGAGATGGAAAAAATAGGATTCGATTACATTAGGAACTACTTTGTATGAATACAATATTTTACTCCTTATTTGTGACTTCATCTTTCAGTCATCCCAGCATACTGATAATTACTTTGCCATTATTTCTGTTACAGAAATCACATTATACAGCATGAATACATTTGGAAACAACTTCAAGTCTGTTTGACTCTAGCTATAGAGCCTAATGCTCTGCATTAGGTCATTTTCTTGTTCTTTCTTTCTTCTCCTTAAATAGATGCACAGACATTTAAGAATTTAAGCACAAGGACTTTGTGAAAAACACTGACTAATGTCTAAGATGGTAATCAAAAGAAAAAATATCTACCAATATCTGAAGCATAAAAGGGATTTATTTACAGCAGTGCATCCAAGTATGACTAAACAATTTTGTAAAAGGCATAATAAATTTTTTTATTAGCAACACCTACTTGACAAAGATATATTGTCATACAGCCTCTACCAAAAGAAATGCCAAAAGCTTCGCTCTTTAGAAAGCATAATGAACAACACAGTATAAAATTAGTATTTGCTTCACAAAACTTTCTCAACACTTTTTAACAGATGTTTCCACCACCTAGTAAGCAAACTACATCTAACACACAAAAGGTCCTGTTGACTCACAAGTATTAGTTGTACACATCAGCCTCTAAGCAGTGCTTTTATGGATTTGCTAACACTTTTCTAATTTCTTCCTTCTTGGTGTACAGCAGAAATTCAGCAGCTAGCAAATTGCAAAGCAAATGCAGTTAAAAAATTTCAAATATTATTAGTTACCTAAACAGATCAAATCAATTGAAGAAATCAGATTCCAAAAGACACTGCCCCAGACACAAGAACAGTTATGAACAAACCTGTTCTAAAACAAGTCATGTGGCTGTATCCACAGCATTATACATATTTTTATATTGCACCTTAAAAGTGGCATTAAAATATTGTTAATAGAAACACAAACCCCAAGAAAATGTATAGGACTTAGGACTTCCACAAGTTTGAGAAATGCTCTCTGAGAGGCTAATGTAACTAACAGACAAATACTAACCCTTTAAGAAACTGATTATATCAGGGCATGTAAAGTTTTCACTACAATTTACAAGACTCTAGTTCTCTTATTTTAATCAGGTACTCACTGTACATACAGCAAATGGGAAGGAACAAGCAGATGCTGACTAACAAGTGAGGTGCAACCAGTTGCCTTACTAGCACTACCTCTCATAGAAGCAAAGCAGCTCTTTTCTCTTACCGAGTTCAGGATTTAGCAGAAGTCACCATTTAGTAATTCCAAATCTTTCAAACTGCATCTAAACTGCCTGCCTAGATACGCAAAACAAATCCCTTGTCTCCCTACAACCATCAAGAGATCCCTGTCCAACCTACACAGCTGTAATTCCTTTGAACACAAACTCCCTCCCAATTTCCCATGGCTCAGTTAACTCACACCCAGACAATAAATTTGAACCACAGCAAAGGTATAATGCACAGGCCCAGAAGCTGGGAAGCAATCCTGTGTTAAACTGGCATCAGCCTAGGCACAGATGTCTCTCTCAAGATGCCAGAGGTCCCACTCCTACTGCTTGTCATTCAAAGTCAGCTCACATGTTGCTTTTGGTATTTGCACTAAAAGATTCTGACACCTGATTAGGAAATAATACTGTATCCTTTTTTTTAGTGTCATGAACCTGTAATGCAAGAAAAAGAGGATGCAAATATTATACTAAAAGAGGAGAGAAAAGTCATTTTATCAGCATTCACAAATGTCTTAGTGTTTACAAAGCACTTAGCAAATTGACCAACTAATACCTATTAGAACCTCAAGATGACTCAGGTAAAAGTGTTCCTCTTGACAAGCAAGAAAACTACAGCATGACAAACGCAATAAAAGCCTGATCACAGGCAGTACAGAAGTTCCTCTAAGATCTCTTACTAACATTATCCAGAATCAACCTACAGATTTGTATAGAAAATTGTTCGTTAACTTAAGATCATAGAATGAAGAATTACAGCACTATTCACATGGGAAGGGACTGAGGATGTCTCTAGTTCAACCTCCCGCTCAAAGCAGGATCAGTTATGGGATCAGACTGGGCTACTTCAGGCTTTCTCCAGTCAGAATAGGACAGTCAAGGCCCCCATAAAGTGTCCTGCTCTAACTCACAGCTTGCCAGTCCACCTTTAAGTCCTAAAATCTCTACTTGGGAAAACACAGACCTATAGTTTTAGAAGGCACCAGAGGATGAAACTAAAGAATTACTGACCAGTGAGCTCTATGTGAGTTTGACAACAAATGTATGGCTAAACAGCAAGGTGACCATGACATGGCAGATCTAACCAGCTTGCCTCCACATAAGGGAAACTGGGCTTCTGAGACCTCTGAATGCATCAAATAAGTATTCCATGAAGGAGAATCAAATGACCATTGACATTTTAGCCTTGTAAAAATTTGAGTATAGGCAAATACTAGAATAGATCAAAACTAGAAAAGTCCAAAAGAAGAACAACTTGTTTCCTCACAGCAGAATGTTTGATTGTGGAATATTTCACTGTCCCGTTTTGCTATGTTTCTGGGGGGAAGGTACAGATTTTGTTACAGACTATTTAGTTCTGATGAAATCCAATAAAATTATGGAAGTTACAAAGGGTTAAAACAGAATACATCACAAGGTAAGATGTTTCTACATCCATAAGATCATAAGATAAAATTTCATTAAGACAGAAACTGTAAAGGAGTCGATTTCACCAGTTTAATGAATTAATGCAGAAGTAACTTAAGAATACACCACTGAGATCAGAAACTCTGTCAAGTACAAGAGACTAAGACACAGCTGACTGCATCATCCAAGGTTCTGAGACAGGAAATCGTATTTTGAAGAGACTAGGCTGCTTCGATAAACACGAACGTGTCTGCCCTTTCCCCTCTGCCTCCCCCAACCAGCGGACAAAGAATATGGTGTTATAACTCCCCAATAATCTTTTTACTTTATTACACTAATATTACACTGTTTTTTTCCAGATGAACACTGAATATTACTCTAGCATACAGCTTATTACTCTCCTCTACCACAAAGCAAGCAGACTTCATGATACCCTGTTAGCAGACAACTGCACATTACATGCAAGTGAGAAACCCCACGGCTCTTGTATACAATACTAAGTTTTGTAAGGATGATAGGCCAAGAGATCTTATAAAAACATGGAGATTTCTGTTACTGCCAGAACTGGTAGCACGATATACTATAGATGTATAACATCCATACTATTGGGAGCACAGTTGTGCACACTGAAGCTTTTGAGAGACAGGAGAAGACAGATGCCTCTGCCAGCTAAAAATTTAACAGAGGATGCTGCTTTGGCTCAGGAAGTACCAGCAAAGTGAACTCCTGATCTGGAAAACAAGATTAGCTCTACAGTTATGCCAGATAGTATTTGCATAGCGAAAGCTGGAAACGCTGAAGGTATAGATGGGCTTTTCTTCAAAAAACCTTGGTTTTAAGAAGGGAGGGAAGTCTCAGACACTGACTGAAACATCAGCACTATTGATAATAAAAAGAAGGTTAAAATACTTGCAAAAACCCACCCCCAACCCTTAAAGAACCCATGACAGAGACATCTTAAACTCAGTAGGGTGAAATAACAAACTGGTCCAAGCATCAGTCAGTAACTGTGAGAAAGGCAGGGTGTAGATTTCCATAGCTTGAATTTCCATACCTGATAGCAGTTTGTCAAAGTGCTTGGAGCTTGATGGCATATCATATAAAGATCTTGCAACCTGTCCACCAGTGAACAAACAGTTTTAGTGATGGACTTTTTACTGACACTATTCATGCCAGATGTTGCTTTTGAAGGCAAAATCATTCATAGGGGACAGGTCTATTGAATATTAGTCTCAAAAATGTTTATTACAGGATGCACCATATACAACACCCAGCAAGATGCTGTTACATGTACAGCTTGATAATTCCACAAAACGGTGAATTTGGACTCCACTGCAAGAAACCCAGAATGGCAAGAAGCTGGGCATACCAAATGAAACTGCTTTTTTAGGTACACCGTTACCTAGATGCTTTTACTGACTTTGAACATGTTCATGGGATCTGATCCTCTACAGTCACCGGGAAATTAGGTTTTAAAGACAGAGTGGTAAGGACGTCTTTTGACAGAATCATAATTTTAACAGTAAAAGGAGGTTTGTAAGGGAGTTTATTATTACAGCAGCATATTAGAAACAATAATTCAAACCACAGATTGTTTCAAAAGCCCCTTTCTACTCCTCAAAAAAGGGCAGACACCTAACAAACAAAATAAGAACCGTGAGAAATAAGTAAAAGAAAATTTAGTGGCAAATGGCAGTATTTACTTGTGCCTAGAAATGAGAAACACATCCTCCTCTTGCCATTCTATCAGGAATGCGCGTAACAGACAGCGAATAGGTTTTGCTTTCAGTGGAACGTATTCTGGTTAAGGGTACGATTTCAAGAGATTTATATAAATCACCTTCAAATTCTGTTTTAAAATTAACCAAGGACTTGCTAGACAAGATTACTGCTAAATTGTCAGATTAAAAATTAATAACTACTTTCCTACTGTCTGCAGAGAATACTTTTTGGAGGTTAAATTAAAGAATGATCTTTTCCTCATATAGATAGTCAGATTTTTGAAGAAACTTAGAAAACTCATACAGATTATTTTATTCTTCTGGGAGCTACCACCTCTACCTAAAGAGTAATTATTTCAGGCATCAGTCTATGCCTCCGTCATGCATTTCTGAACACTGCCACTGAAAAAGTCTGTTTGGAACAAGTTCCTAACACACACAGAAAGCTGGGTTTTCTTTTACTGATTAATCTGGTAACAAATCCATTACTACAACAAAACTAAAATGTTTATCAAATGTATGCAAAATAGGAAGCTTGTCCCTTACTGTTGGCATGAAATACTTGATGTCTAAGACAACCAATGGAACTAAGGGGAAGACACTTTAGACTAGTGAGAACTGGAACAGTAGATGTAAAGAGCCTAAACTTGGAGAGCTTACACCAGTGAACCAACTGCTCAAATTTATACAAGAAAGCCAAATGCTTTTTTCCCCAAGATGATGAGTCAGTATTTTTGACCTTGTGTGTCCTCATGGTTTCAAAAGAAACTGGTATTCACAGGTTTGACTGGTCTCCTGTGGTGTGCAGAAAACTAGAACTTCCCAGATCATCTTTGTAAACAGCCAGGACTGCACATCAGCCAGCAGAAAAGCAGTTCCTTTCTTCCAGTCTTGCCTTTTCAGGCATCAACCTAAGCATCATCAGCTTATCCTTGCACCTCTGCCAGTTTTACTGTATCCTTTTTGAAGCTGAGACACTAGAACTACATGAAGCGTGCAAGACAGAGGCACCTTAGCTCCACACACTACCTTAAGAACCTTGCTTGCTGTGTTCTCTTTTCCCAAAATACTGAATATTTTTGTCTGCTATTGAGCACTACAGCAGCATTTCCAACTAACTATTATAAACACAAGCTCTCATTCTCAGCTGGCAAAAAGTCACCTCACACCTTTTTATATTAAGCATGAAGTTGGAATTTCTCCCCCTCCAGCCCCAATATGCATCATGCAACTTAGCTGAGAAATAAAAGCAGAGATATTCACTCAGTCTCTTAAGATTTTTCCGCAGTTCTTCAGTCTGGCCTTAGTTTTCCACTCCTAATC